TCCAGGCTTTTTCCACCCCTCATTATGCTATTGTAACAAATTGTATTTTTATATCTTGTATGCCCATCAATCTATATTTATAATGATTGCTTTCGGCAGTTATCTTTTAAGTCAGGTAAGATAAAAGAAGAGTTGCAATAAAAATACATTACATATTTCTATATTTACCCATGTAATCTTTTATACTTTACTGATGTAGTTACCCTTAGCAATGTTCTTTATTTCTGTGTGTGGATTCCATTTACTGTCTAATATCCTTTTATTTAGCCTGAAAGATATCATTTAGCATATCTTTCAGGGCAGGTCAGCCAGTGATGAACACCCTCAACTTTTATTTTTCTGGGAATGTCTCAATTTTGCCTTCAGTTTTGAAGGATATTTTTTCCTGAATTTTTGGTAATAGATTTTTTCTGTCATCACTTTGAATGCGTCATCCCACAGCTTTTTTATTTTTAAGACTATTTTTAAGAGAAGTTTTAGGTTCACAGCAAACTTGAATGAAAAGTACAGGGAATTACCATATACACCCTGTCTCCCCTCCAAGCACAGCTTCCTGTTATCAACATTCCTCCACATCAGAGTGGTACATTCGTTACGACTAATGAAACTGCATTGACACATCATTACGTAAAGTCCATAGTTAACCTTAGGGTTCGCTCTTGGTTTTGTACAGTCTACGGGTTTGGATAAATACATAATGATAAGTATCCACCATTATAGTATTATACAGAATAGTTACACCGCTCCCCAAATCCTCTATACCCTACCTATTTATTCTTTCTCCAAGTCCCCCACAACCTCTTGCAACCCCTGAACTTTTTACTGTATTCATAGTTTTGCCTTTTCCACAATGGCATGTAGTCAGAATTATATAGTATGTAGACTTTTCAGATTGGCTTCTTTTAGTTACTAATATGCAATTAGGGTTACTCCATGTCTTTCCATGACTTGATAGCTCATTTCTTTTTAGTGCTGAATAATATTGCATTGTCTGGATGTATCACAGTTTATTTACGCATTTACCTATTGAAGGACATCTTGGTTGCTTCCAAGTTTTGGCAATTATGAATAAAAATGCCATGTGTAGGTTTTTAGTATGGATATGAGCGTTCGACTCCTTTGGGTAAATAAAAGGAGCATGGCTGCTGGATCATATATGATAAGAGTATGTTTAATTTTCTAAGAAACTGCTAAACAGTGTTTTGAAATGCTATACCATTTTGCATTCCCATCAGCAATGGATGAGAGCTCTTGTTGCTCCAGATCCTCACCAGCATTTCATGTTGTCAGTGTTCTGGATTTTGGGCATTGTAAGATGTGTAAAGTTATGGTTTTTAATTTGCAGTTTCTCAATGACATAAATTGAGCATCTTTTCATATAATCGTTTCTTTGGTGAGGTGCGTCTGTTCAGGTCTTTGGCCCATTAAAAAAATCAAATGGTCTTCTTATTGTTCAGTCTTGAGTTCTTTGTGTATTTTGGATAACGGTTCTTTATCAGATATATTTTTTGTAAATATTTTTTTCCCAGTTTGTGCCTTGTTTTCTCGCTCTTTTGACCTATTGACTTTGGCTTTCTTGATTTCTGATCAGAAATCAACCATTATTTTTATTGAGTAGTCCTATATGTGATGAGTTGCTTCTCTCTTGTTGCTTTCAGGATTTGTTGTCTGTTCTTGACAGTTTGACTTAATACGTTTCTATGTGAATCTCTTTGAGTTTATCCTACTTGGAGCTGTTAATCTTATTGGATGTGTAGACTAATGTTTGTCATCAAATCTGGGGAGTTTTCAGTTATATTTCTGTACACATTCTTTCTGCTTATTTCTCCCTCTTCTCTCCTGTGATTTATTATGCGTATGTTGGTCCGCTTGATGGTGTCCCATGTTTCTCTTAGGCTCTGTTCATTTTCTTCATTCTTATAATTTCTGTTCCCCAGATTAGATAATCTCAACTGACTGACTTTCAAGGTCTTAGATCCTTTCTTCAACATATTCAAAGCTGCTGCTGAGCCCCTTTAGTGAATTTTTCATTTGCGTTATTGTAATTTTCAACTCCAGTATACCTTTTTACATTTTCTCTTTCCTCATTGAAATTTCCTATTGGTGAGACATCATGCTTTCCCTTAGTTCTCTAGACTAGTTACCTTTTAGCTGTTTGAACATACATAAAATGGCTGATTAAAGTCTTTGTCTAGTAAGCCCAATGTCTGGGCTTCTCATGAACAGTTTTTATGTTGCTTGCTTTTGTCTCCATGTATAGGCCATACTTTCTTGTTTTTTGAATTCCTTGGAGTATGGTAAATGGGATTAGGGCAAGTTAAAATGCCACAGAGCTCACTGTTCAAGAGGCAGCTGTTTCTCTTGAAAAAAATGTTTTCCAAGTTGCTTCAAGCTTTTGCTTACTGTCCAGAGTTATGAAAAAGTTGGTTCTAACGGCTTTTGCCAGTTTTCAGTTGCTCTTTTAGATGGGTGCACTTCTGGTGTTCCTTACTCTTTTCTTTTCACTGATGTTTCTCCTCTAAGTCTTTAAAAACTGGTTTACTTTACATTTGCAACACTACTCTTCCAATTAGCCACATTTCAAGTGCTCAGTAGCCACATGGGGCTAGTAGCTACCATACTTGCAATGCAAAGTCTATCAGAAAATTTCAAAAACAAGTTATTTAAAGGAATATAAATGAGAAATTAGATCTCTAATTTAAACACTTTTCTGTACCTGAGCAAGAACTGATTTTTTATAGCAAAGTAAGTACCCTACAAACTATAAGTAGCAAATAATAATAGCTACCACTTCTTAAGCACTTTACTTAATGCCAGGTAACATTTTAAGACTTATCTGACACGTATTAACATTTTTATTCTTTACAACAACCTAATGGAGTAGGTATTAATGTGCTTTAATTATACAGAAAACAAAATATCAAGAATTTAAGCAACTTACCAGGTATCTCACAGCTAAAAAGTGGAAAAGTGAGTATTCAAACCTTGAAAGTGTGGCTTTACAGCCCAGGCCATTAACTACCACTTTATGCTACTTAGCAGACCTTAAAGGAGAAATGCAGAGAAAAATTATTTTGGCCAACGGAGAACAGGGTAGAGGAGGAAACAGCACTAAACAGAATATTAAAACATCAGAAAATCCAGAACACACTTGCAAGAAAACAAACCCACATTTTTATTGAGTGCTATATATTTGTATCTGAATTTAGCACATTACTTGAAACTTAGTAAGCAGTCAGTGAATATTTGTTGAATAAATGAATGACTGATACATATTTATATATTGTGCTAGGTCTTTACAAGTGTCTTGCACTAAGTGATTTTAAAGCTTAGAGTGATGAAATCATTTTCCCCCTTACTAGGTTGTTAGTGCAAGGATTGGTTAGACTAGAGCCCAGTTTTTGAATTCCACATCCCTTACACAATAGCTTTTTCTGAGTCGCAAAAGGATTAAAGCCACAAAGGATAAAAGCTTACACCATCCCACATGATCATATTTGACATATGTGCATGTTGATTATGTGATTAGAGAAAGAAAGTGGTCCAGCTGTGGAAACTTGGGTACCTTTTTCTCTTGCCCACTTACAGGACAGACTTCTAAGAATGGAGAAGGAAGGGTTCCAGTATGGAGAATGTGAGCAGAAGTATAACTAGATAATTTGAACAATTATAGCTGTTCTGACAGTTAAAATCCTTGGCGACCTGCTATCTCTGTCTCTAACTCACTGCAGAGATCTAGAGAAGTGTGTAAGGCCTTCACTGAGCAAATATTTACTCAGCATCTTCTATGTGGCAGCAGATAGTCCTGTCTTAAAAGAAGACAAATACACCAATAGACAACTGTATGGTACACTATGAATGTATAAACTGCAATAAGGAAATATGCAATGCACTTTGAGAGAAAAAAGAATTGCCTAGGAGGTTTAGCAACAACTTTTTAAAGAAATTAACTTTTGAAATGAATCTTGAAACATTAGTAGCTGTAGAAGGAAGACAGTAATCTAGGTAGAGGCATGAGCATAGTTACAAGGAGGACTAGCAATAGGAAGGCTGTTAAAGTGGATAAGGGGTGGATGGTCAAGGAATTTCAACAGACCAGGGAATACGATTGTGTTTCTACTTTAGCGAGTCATCTCTCATGGTGATGGGGGACTAATGAAAAAGAACCAGAGTTGGGGAAATTAGTTAGACATGATGAAGGTCTAAATTACACCTGAGGGGATAAAGAGGCAAGGAAGAGATTGAAAAGAGAACTGAGATATATGAGTGAGGAAGGAAAAAAGTTAAGAATTATTATTTCTATTAATGGAGATAGAAAAAGTAGGAGGAATAGACTGACTCTAGGTGTTAAAGAAAAGGTGAGGTCTGTTTTGACAATATGTCTATGGAATATCCCAAGGTATGACTTTTAGGTTTCAAGCCTGAAGCTCAGAAGGGGGTCAGAGTTAGAAATAGATTTGAGAGTCATCGATTGATAGGTGAATTCGTGGGAGTCAAATTGGTTATCTTGGAGGAGCCAAAGGTGACAAAAAGTTTCTGGGCATGGAGCCTCAACACTGAAGAAGACAGAGGAGGTGTTCCTAAAGTAGAGGCTGTAAAGGAGGCAAGATAAAGAGGAAAAGTGCTTGGATAAAAGGGAGTAAGAAGTTTCAGAAGAGCATGGTCCTCCATTAGATACTGAGAAGAGATGAGGTAGGGTACAGAATGAAAACTGGCCATTGGAAACTTTCTGGTGGCAGGAGAAGGGATGCTTCAGAGGAGGCCGAAGCAGATTGCAGGGAGTTTAGTGGTCTGGGTTGGGAGAGGTCTGGTTGGTGTTTGCAGGGGTAGTTCATGAATATTTCAATTGCCAGGTCAATCAGGAGATGAAAAGAGGATGTTTTATACTCAGAAGAGGAGCTTAGAGATTGTGGTAACACCAAGAAACTTGAAGCGGCTCAAGATTGGTTAATGTTGTTACAGAATTCATGGACAAAATTACATTTTGAAGCAAATAGATATGTTTTTTTATGTCATTTGCTATTTTATTTTCTTTGAGATGCTGATATCAATCAAGTTTAATGGGTTTTCCTATTTAGGTACCTTATATTTTTCCCAACATTAGGGCAAATTTCAACCACATAGAAATGTTGAAAAGCATTACAAAGAATTATACAGCAAACATTCATCTATTTAATACCTTGATTCTACAATTAACATTTTGCTGTACTTGCCTTACCGTTTATTTTTTCATTCATCTTATTTTTTGATGCACTTCATCGCAAGATGAAAACATCGATACACTTCATCTCTATCAGTATGCATATCTTTAACTAGAGTTCAGTATTTGCTTAGGCTTGTGTGTGTAGAACATTCCCTGAGTTTGACATATTCACACCTGTGTAACCCCTATTATGACACGGAACATCACTATCAGCTTACAAAGCCCCATTTCTCTTCCCAGTTTCCCCTTCTCTCCTCTCTCACAAAGCCAACCCTTGTTCTGATATTTTTCACTATATGTTGGTTTTGCCTGTTCTAGAATTTCATATATATGTAATCTTATAGTTGGTACTCTTTCATATCTGGCTTCTTTCACTCAGTAAAACATTTTCGACATTGGTTCATGTTATTTCATCAGTAGTAGTTAATTTCTTTCTTTTGCTGAGTATTATTCCATTATTTGAATTTACCAGTTTTTATCTATATTCTTGCTGTTGGGTAACTACCCTATTTCCAGTTTTTGGCAACAATGAATAACAATGCTATAAACAATCTAATACAAGTCTTTTTGTGGACATACATTTTCATTTCTCTTGGGTAAATACTAGGAGTGAAATGGCTGGATCAAAGAATAGATATATTTAATTTTGTAAGAAACTTCCGGGCCTTTTTCTGAGGTGGTTGTTCCATTTTATGCTTCTCTAGCAGTGTTGCTTCACATCCCCTCCAACGTTTGGTGTTGTCATTTAAATTTTAGTCATTCTAGTGCAGTAGTCTTTCATTGAGGTTTTAATGTTCATTTCTTTCATGAATAAAGGTGTCATATACTTCATCATGGCTTATTGGTCTTTCATATATTTTCTTTAGTAAGGTCATCTGTTTGAGTTGTAGGAGTTTTTAAAACAGTAAGTCCTCACTTAACATCGTTGATAGGTTTTTGGAAACTGCTATGTTAACCAATTTTACTATAGGCCAACTGATATACAGAAATATGCCTTAGGAACGTAACTGTTATTTATATCACTTAGCCTATGGTAAAACTGAATAACGTATCAGTTTTCAACAACCTGTCAATGAAGTTAAGTGAGAATTTACTGTACATTCTGGATATAAGTTCTTTGTCAGATATATGTGTTGTGAACATTTTATCCTGTACTGTGGCTTGTTTATTCATAGTCTTAATGGTGTCTTGATGAACAAAAATCTTTTTTTTTTGGAGTTCATCAATATTTTTTCCTTTATGGTTAGTGCTATCAAAGTCCTAAGAAACTTTTGCCTACCCCCAAGCTGTGAAAATATTCTTCTATGTTTTCTTCTAGAACCTTAATAGTTTTAGATTTTGTGTTATGGCCATGATTCATTTCTAATTTTTATGTATTTTATGAGGTAAAGGTCAAAGATTCATTTCTTTTCCCATATAGATATCGAGTTGTTATAGAATTGCCTATGAAAAGACTTTCCTTTCCCCATTGGGTTGCTTTGGTGCCTTTGTAAAATATCAACCTTTTTCATATTTAAACTCATTTTACTATTTATAAACTATTTTTACTCACACATTTTTTAATACTCCCTCACTGGGGGTGGATATAGTTTCCTCATTTCACAGTGGAGAAAACGAAGGCTCAGAGCAGTTTAAGAACTTGTCCAAGGGTACACAAAGCCAAAGACTTGAACATAGAACTACTACTGAATCATAAAGAAATTGCTTACATTTTAAACTTATTTTATCCAGTGGAAATATTATTAAATAGATACCTTTTCTGAATATGAGGGAGTAACAGAAATGATAAAGTGTATATGTTTATATTTCAACACTGGTAATATTTTTAGACTGACAACCAAACAAATGCTTCCTTTGCAGGTTGTGTATGTCTAAAACAATCTTTATATTATACATATCTGTTCTGAAAGAGTAAAAAATTACAACACTTGCTTCCCCAAATTGGGTGAAAATCATAGCTTTTAGCCAAGGCTGCTTGGACTTTATTTCAGATAAAGAATGTATTTCCCTCACTCTGATCTAAAAAGAAAGTCTTACCCTTTTCTGATTCTTTAAGAGAAATAAAGGAGTACTTAAAGGTACATATCATGAAAACAGGTGTAACAACTAGAAGAAAACACAATAGCCACTCTATTTTTCTTTCTCTCTTAACTCTGCTATATTAATATTCAGGCACCCAGCCTGTCTCCAAATGCTTTGTACCACCCTCTTTTCTACCTCACAGAAGCAGTTTTCTGGCAACCTTGATCACTGGCTGAGACTAAACTGACCTCAATGTCCTAACTCTCCAGATCACCTAGGCCGCCTCTGAGGTATCAGTCTCCTGTGCCCACCTCATTTGCCTGTGACACACAAATGAATGACCTGTTTTTCTGGCTTACTCCTCAGGTAAGAACCACCTTTTCCCACATAGAAAGAAGCAAGCTTGTTCAAACCAGTGGTCCATAATATAACTATACTTTAGGGATATCACAACTAAAGAATCTGCAACTTATGAATTACATAGAATAAGAGGGTCACACAGCTATTTGAAGCCAACCTTGGATCAGAACACACATATTCTTGACAACATCATCATTCTTCTCCCATATTACATGTCCTCCCTCAAATATCTGATAAACCAAGGTGCTATAAAGTGGGACTAAGTTAACTACTCCTCATCCCAAGATGGAAGAACTTAGGCCACAGAGAATGCCTAACAGTCAGAGGCAGGTTTCCTGAGACCCAGTCTGTAAGCCATTATTTTTCCTTTGTCCTTTACCAAAACAGAGAACTAAAAAAGTATGCCATAAGCTCAAGGACAAAATACACACATCCCAACAACTATGTCCTTTTACAAGAAAGTTATGTGATCTGTGTGCATGTAAGTACTACCAAATAGCATCATTTGGAACCTCCTATACATAGAGACTATCAGAAAATCCTAGCTGGTGAGTTATACTTGATAAATAGTCTTGGAGTATGAGAGTTTCTCATAAAAAAAGGGTAGAAAAAGTTTTCTCAGGGTCCCTCCTATTTATTTAAGGAAGACATTCTGTAGTATTTTTAATATGATAAGGATACTCTAGCACTCAAACTAATTTTGCATGAGAGACAAAATTGGAAGACTCACACTTTCTGATTTCAAAACTTGCTCAAAGTTCCAGTAATCATGACAGTCTAGATTGGCATAAGGAGAGACATACAGACCAATGGAATAGAACTGAGTGTCCAGAAATAAAACCTTTCATTTGTGGCCAATTGATTTTGACAAGGGTTCCAAGACAAATCAATAGTGGAGAAAATAATCTTTTCAATTAAGTGAATTGAGTGGAACAACTGAATATTCACATGCAAGAGAATTAATTTAAACTCCCTCCCTCATATGTTTATGAAAGTAAACTCAAAGTGGATCAAAGACTTAAATGTAAGAGCAAAACCAATAAGACTCTTAGAAGAGAACAGAGGTGTAATTCTTCGTGATCTTGGGCAAGGCAATGATTCTTAGATCGGAAATCAAAAGTACAAGTGACAAAAGAAAAAAACAGATAAATTGGACTTCATATCAATTAAAAACATTTGTGCTTCAAAGGACACCATCAAGAAAGTAAAAACAACCCACAGAATGGAAGAAAATATTTGTAAATCATATATCTGATAAGAGATATATCTAGAATGTATAAAGAACATTTATAACTTAATAAAAGGACAGATCGCTCAATCAAAAAAATGGTCAAGGGATCTGAATAGACATTGCTCCAAAGAAAAATAGAAATGGCCAAAAAGCACATGAAAAAATGATCGATTTCATTAGTCATTAGGGAAATGCAAAACCACAATGAGATATTATTTCATATCTACCAAGATGGCTATATTTAAACAGAGATAACAGCAAACATTGGCAAAGATGTAAGGAAACTGGAATCCTCAAACTTTGCTGGTGAGAATGGAAAAAAATTTGGTAGTTTTTCAAAAAGTTAAATATAAGGTTACCATGTGACCCAGCAATTCCATTCCTAGGTATATTTTCCCCCAAACTGAGAACATATGTCAACACGCACACAAAAGTTGTACCTGAATGTTCATAGAAGCGTTATTCATAATAGCAAAAAAGTGTTAACCCAAATTTCCATCAACTCATGAAATGGATAAACAAAATATGGTATATCCATACAATGAAATACTATTTGACCAAAAAAAATACTGATACATGCTACAAAATGGATGAACCTTGAAAAAATGCTGTGAAAGAAGCCAGACACAAAGGATCACACATTATATGACTATATTTTTATGACTGTCCAGACTAGGCAAATCTATAGAGACAGAAAATAGATTAGTAGTTGCCAGGGGATGGGAATGGGGTGAATTGGGATGTACAGGGTTTCTTTTGGGGATGATTAAAATGTTCTTGATTTAGATAATGGTGATGGCTACACAATTTTGTGCTTATACTAAAACCACTGATTGCATACTTTATAATGGAAAATTTTATGTTATATGAATTATATACCAATAATATAAAAAAAAGACAAACAAGCATAGGTGACCTTAAAGTTTACCTAAACATAAAACAAAACAAAAACTTGAACCTTTTTCTATGATTTAAATTCAGTTTTACATTATTTTTTTCTTCTTCGACAACAATAATCATTATGATAAAAATAGCAGGCACTTATTAGGCATTGTGCCAAGTATTTTATATTTGGTATTCTCTCTCAAATCACCTCATGACCTTGTACAAAGGGGTTATTATCCCATTTTATAGAAAGGAAATTGAAGCTCGAAGAGGCTGAGTAATTTGTCCAAGGTCATATAAAGGTGATCAAGTGGATTCCAAAGGTTCTATTATACCATTTGTCTTCCTTAAAATAGTGACTTACTGGTAACCAATATTATTTTTCTATGTATTATGTTGTTGTTCTTTCTATCTCCATTAATAAATTAGATATCATTTCAGGGTCCAGTATTAAATAATGATCTTTCTTCCTTAGTTTGTTGAGCACAGGGCAAAGACAGAAAAAAAAATCCACATGATAAGTTTTTATTTGTATCAAATTACAGAGTACCATAAGTAAGTATAAGATTATGATTTGAATATTGCAATATAACTTAGAATTTGGCAAATTACTTAATTATCCAAAGTTTATTATATATTTGAGTATGCACTGAAGAGATTATTTGGCATAATTTGGCAAGATATATATTTTTGATAAATGTACCTATTTGACTATTTGTCATGTATATATGTGGTACATATATGTATACATATATGTGTACATATGTGTACACATACATACATACACACATTCCTAAATTAAATATACTTGTATAAAAAGCTAAAGATTGATGTTAGAATTAATTCCTTTAAAAATCTCTTATATTAAATTGCATCTGCATTCAAAGCAGAAATGTAAAAAAAAAACCTGATCAATTTGCTAAATACTCATGAATTTACAAAGTAACCGAAAATTAAATAAAAATTTCTATCGAAATGTTATATTCCTGTTTAATTAACATTTCAGTGGCACTATCAAACTATGGAAATAAACAATTTTTTTAGTTTGTTGAGAGAATAAAGATTCTACTGAGCATTACTATACCCTCTAAATTAAGAATGAACGTTATACAGTAAGAAAAGATGGCAGATGGTTTTCTTCTTTATTACTCTAGGAATTCTCAGGAGGCAATCAGGGCAGTGTTTGTACTCCTGGGCTTGGGTTTCCTGCTTTTCCATCAGTGGAAGTCTGGTTTCTCAGGAAAGGTGCAGCCAGTCCGCCTAATTATGACGCTTGCTGCATAGTGGCCAGCACGAATGCATTCATTCAGGGGCTTGTCAGAGACCAGTTGAGATAGAAAACCTGAAATACAGACAAAAGGGAAGAAAGTAAGTATTGTGTAACAGCATCAGAAATGTCATATTGAGTCAGATCCAAAAATGGTCTTAAAAGAAAAAGCTTTAAACACCTATTTCTTTCTTCAGTCTGATAGTAAATGTTAATCCTTAAAGGTTAGAGAAGTATTTCCCCTAGCATCATGAGCTTCCCTAATATTTCTTTTCCATAACTCAAGATGGGACATGACAACTTACTATGAAGTCAGTCTAGTTTTTCTATGCCTAAACTATCATACCTTCCTTTAGCTCTGAGATTAAAAGATTGTAAGTAATACTTGTCAAATAATATTTTCTTGGGTCTTTACAATTGAGAATTTATTAGTTATCCTCCTCTCCATTTTTTTGGATTTGTTCTGTATCATTGTTATTCCTGGCATATTGTTTTGGTCAAAATTTTTTCATCTGAATGTCCTTCCTCGTACAAAGGTGAGAGCTGAAAAGTTATGAAGGACCTTACGTCTCCCTTTCACTCCTAGTAATAACAGTGAAATAGTTTCTATAGTTAAGCACAACAGACCAGCTTGACAGTAAAATAAATATAATAAGGTAGAAAATAGTATTGAAGACTTCTGTTTCTGACAAAGATGAAATAAAAGGAACCAGATTGACCTTTATCCAGAAACCACTGACATAAAGACAAAATATATAAACAAAGTTTTTCAATTATCATTCATCAGCCACAAAAGATTCATGAAAAAAAGGGAAACGAATGAGGTAAACTGTAAAATTGCTCTAGCTTACTACCTAGAGAGTTACCAGGCCATAACACAAGAATGAACAACCCAGGCAGAGCCTGAGTTGAGAAGATGGAATTGGGAGTCAAAGTAGGACAAAATGAAACATCTAGGCAGATTAGTCAGGAAAAAAAGAGAGAAGACATAAATTACCAATATTGGGAATAAGAGAGGTAATATCACTATGAAGCTACACATTATAAGACTAATAAGGAATCATTAACAACTTTATACCAATAGATGTGACAAGTTAGATGAATTGGACAAATCTGGAAAGACACAAACTATCAAAGCTCACTCAGGAAGAAGGAGATAATCTGAGTAGACTTCTATCTATCAAATATATTGATTTTGTAGTTAAAAAGATTCCCGTAAAGAAAATTCCAAGTCCAGATGGTGTCATTGGTGAATTCTATCAAACATTTAAGGAAAAAATAATATCGATGCTATACGAATGCTTTAGAAAACTTAAATAGAGGAAACACTTTCTTCATTCTTTGAAGCCAGGATTGCTCTGATAACAAAATCAGAAAAAGATACAACTATTCTGAAGAAAATTTTAGCAAATCAAACCCAACAGTAAATTTAAAAAGATAATAAATCATGATCAGGTGGGGTTTATCTTAGGAATGCAAGTTTGGTTTACGTTTAAAAATCAATCAATGTAATATACCATATTAACTAAAAAAAAAAAGGATCACCTTAATAGATGCCAAAAAAGCATTTGACGAAATCTAGCATCCATTTCTAATAAAAACTAGGAACAGCAAGAAACTTCCTCAACCTGATAAAGGGAATTTATGAAAAACTTATAGTTAATACCGTTCTTAATGGTGGATGATAGAATGTTTTCCTTTTAAGATTAAGAATAAGGCAAGAAAGAATGATTGCTCTTAAACATCATACTTGAGATTCAAGCCAGTACAATAAAGGAAAATAGATCGATTAAATAAAAGTCATCAAGGTTGAAAAAGAAGTAAAACTCTTTATTTGAAGATGGCAAGACTGTCCATGTCTACGGTTCTCAACAGCGGGCAACTTTGACCTGCAGAGGATATTTGGCAATGTCTGGAGACACTTTTGGTTGTTACAACTGGAGCGGAAGGTGCTACTGGCATCTAGAGTCCAGGGATCCTGCTAAATGTCCTATAATGTCAATAAATGCCAAGATTGGAGAAATCCTGGTCTATGTAGAAAATCTTACGGAATCTAAAAAAAAAAGTTACTAAAACTACTAAGTGAGTTTGGTAAAGTTGTAGGATACAAGATCATTATACAAAAAACAACTCAATTTCCATACTAGTAATGTGTGTATATATAGCAATTGTATATACTAGCAATGAACAATGAGAAATTGATATTAAAAATACTGTTTATGATACCATCAAATATGTGAAATACCTAGGGATAAATCTGATAACAGTTGTGTAAGACCTGCACACTGAAAATTACAAAACAATGCTAAGAGAAATAAAAGAAATCTGAACAAATGGAGACATATAAAGTGTTCATAGATCAGAAGATTATTATCATCAGCTCTGCAGAAATTTTTCTATTGATTCAAAATACCAATCAAAATTCCAGGAGGCTTTTCTTATATAAACTGACAAGTTGATTCTAAAATTTATGTGGAAATGCAAAGAAGTTAGATTAGTCAAAAAACAACTTGGAAAAAGAAGACTGCTTCACTTAAAAACGTGTTATAGAACTAAAATAATCGAGACACTATGGCATTGGCACAAAGATAGACACATAGATCAATGCAACTGAACAAAGAATCCAGAAATAAATCTACTTTTGTATGGTCAAGTGATTTTTAACAAAGGTATCAAAGAGATTCAATGGAGAAAGAATAATCTTTTAAACAAATGATCTCAGAACAGCTGGATGGCCATAAGTGAAGAAAAAAATACTTCAACCCTTATCTCACATATTCTATAAAAATTAATTTGAAATGGACCATAGATCTAAATGTAAGAGCTAAAACTATAAAACTTTGAGAAAGAACATAGAAAAAATACTTTGTGTTTTTGAATGTGCCAAAGTTCTCTTACATAAGACATAAAAAGTAAAACTTTTATAAAAGAAAAAATAATTTGGACTTTGCAATTAAACATTTTTATACCTTAATAATAAGAAACAACCCAATAAAAAATGGGCAAATTATTGGACAAATACTTTTAGCAAAGAAGATAAACAGATGTCAAATAAGCACATGAAAAGATGTTCAACATCATATTCATTAAAGAAATGCAAATTAAAATCATAATTATCTACCGCTGCCTACCCATTAGAATGACTAAATTTAAAAAGACTGAGCATACCAAGTGTTAGTAAGGGTGTGGACCAACTGGAATGGTCATATAATGATTGTTAGAATACAGAATGATAACATCACTTCAGAAGACCATTTGTCAGTGTCTTAAAAAGTTAAATACAAACCTACCATATGATCTAGTTATTCTATTTCTAGGTATTTAACCCATGATAAAGGAAAGCATATATCCGCACAAAGAATTGTAAATGAATGTTCACAGTAGCTTTATTTTTAATAGCTCCAAACTAGAAACAGTCCAAATGGGGATGAGGAGGGGCAGGATTACAACAGAGCATGGGAGTAACAGCTATGTCCATAGTGATGGTTTCACGGGTTTATATATGTCAACATCTGTAAAATTGTACACTTTAAATATGTGCAGTTTTTTGTATGTCAATTATGCTGCATTAAAACTACAAAAAAAAAAAAAAAGTGTTGTACTTACATTCTACCAAATAAGATACATCTTATTAGGTAGGATCTAGGGCTACTTCCCCTCTAGGGGAAACCTGAGCTGCTGTAGGGGTACTCAAATTCTCGGAACAACAGATGATAATGAGAAACTGTTATTAGGCCTTCCCTGCTAGGCCCTGCGCAGCCTGGCGGGGGAAGCGGGGTGAAGGTTAATTGAGAAGCTGTGGTACAATGACCTGCAGAGAGTGTTGTAAGAGATTTATGTCCTTTCTCTTCCACCATTATGACCACACAGGCTTTTCTCTGTCAGATTTGGGGAATGCTCTGTATCTGATAAAATAAATACATATTCCTAAACAAAGAATAAAATTAATTTGGTAAATGGAGTGATGTATTCTGAAGACATATCTTAGAATGTGAAATCACTCTCTTAAGAGTTTAATAAGAGTATTTTATCAGTGCATTTTCAGGTAACAGTCAAAGGTCAATATTAACTTTCAGCCAAACTGTGAGACTAAAATGCTCAGCCCACACAGTGAATGGAGCAGATGCCAAATTCAGAGTCAGATCAGCTTACAATGGAAACACATCTATTAGAGAAGCCTTATAAGCAACATCTGTTTTTCTCATTCCTCCTGGATGATCTCTGTGAGAAAAAGAAAAGCTCATGTTTATGAAATATTTTTGTGAAGCATCTAGCTGATGACTGAAGTGAAGTACTCTGAAGAGACATTTGCTTTGACAGGTGGAAAACCTGGATGCAGAAAAAAAGCTAAGACCTTTGACCCAGGTGAATATCAGTTTTTCAATAATCTATTTTTAAAAACCAACTGAGATGAACTACAGATGTATATAATCAAATATAAGTGGAACCTTCATAAAGTAGCTGATGTAAATCTTAAAAGTTGTGTAAAATGATTTAAATAAACAAAGGGAGCTTATATTTAAAGAATGATAGGGAACCTTTTATACTATGAATAAACATCTCCAAGATAATTTTTTACTGTGTAAATATACATAATCTAAAACTTACCATTTTAACCACTTTAAGTGTACAATTCATGGCATTAATGTGTTTTGCAATGTTGTATAATGATGTTGTATAAACATCACCTCTAACAATTTCCAGAACTTTTTTTTATCACTCCAACAGAAACTCTATACTCATTAAACAATACCTCTCCATTCCCCTCTACTCCTGGCTCTGGTAACTGCTATTCTATTTTCTATTCCTATGAATTTGCTTATTCTAGGTACCTCATGAGTAGGATCATACAATATTTGTCCTTGTGTCTGGCTCATTTTACTTCACTTAATATAATGTTTTTCAATATAATTTTAAAGTTTATATTTTTAATTATTAGCCAGTCTAAAATGTATTTAAAAAAACTTCATTTGGAAATAATTTCAAATTCAGAGAAAAGTTACAAGAATAAAAATAATGCAAAAAGCATCCATACTACTTTTCATCTGGATGTCTTTACTATTAATTAATATTTT